AAGATGCCAATAAGTGAAGATAAATCATGAAGAATTTGTAATAATTTTTTACCTAGGTATTTAACCCACTAGTCTCCTTATGGCTCGAGAGATCTAGGATTAGAGATCCATCACTATTCACTCGGTCCTTGTGTCATGCATAAGATATTTGAATTTTATTTTATGTGATTAATGTTAGTATGCATGTTAGGACTAATGTGATTGACTAGTATGCATGCTAAGATGAGACCTACCAAATTCAAATCCTTCAAATTAAATATTAAGTTAAATGCCTTCTAATGTTATGAGGAAGGAACTCTCCGGGTCGTTGTTGGCTTATTGAGATAACTCAAGATACTTCTTCCTTAAGGAAAACAAATCATGAGCCGTACGATGTTCTCGAATATTGGGTCTAACTTAAAATAAGTTATTGGTTTTATTGAGATAACTCAAGGTCCAATAAACTTATAGGCAAAGATTGGTATCCACATAAGATGTGATATGGTAAAGAGTTGTCATGCCAATAAGATTAGGAATTACATTAGATGCAATTGGTAAGGAGTTATCCACCTAATCCTTCATGTATGACTTGCCGAGACAAGTCAAGGTTAATGCATGTTAGAGGATGGGATCCTAACCCACTAAGGAAGATAAATAAAAAGTCTTCTTGAGTCTTATACTTGAAGGTTATAGAACTTGAAGAAAATAGTGCGAGCGAACATAGATTTTACTTCTATAATTTATGTTTTGTTTTATTTATATAATTTAATTAACCAAACCGTATATTTTTCTATCCTATCAAGGTTGTTGCATAGTATGACCGACAATACATTGATGAGATCGATGATTAATAGGAGTAATGCCTTAAATGGCATAAACTTCCTTAATTGGAAAATGAACAAGAGGAATGTCATCCAACATGGGAAAATGCTCTATGCGATATGAAAGGGTGCAAAAGAAGAGTTCGAAAGCACCTCAACTATTTATATTATTGAAGTGAACTTTTCTGCTTCTAGTCCAACATCATGGGTATTATGATATTGGATGTGGTGTACACATTTGCACAAATTTGAAAGGACTAGAAAAAGAAGAAAAACCACTTCGGATGAGGTTGATCTATGCATTGGTAATGGTTCAAAAGTTGTATCATTAGCGGTAGGCACCTATAAATTAACACCGTCATCCGAACTTGTGCTTATGCTTAGAAATTATTATTATATTCTTAGTATAACAAGAAATATCATGAAAATTTTCATAAGAAATGACAGAGTTGAAGAAATCAATTTTAAACATTAAAAATAATATAATCCAATATATATGTTAATTTTAAATTTTAAAAACATGAGGGGTTAAAAATATCTTTTCAAAAAGAAAAAATATCTTTTGAAAAAATGAAAGACCAAAATGGAGTCAAGTGAAAATATGAGGTTGCCAAAAACATATTTAAAAAATAAGGGATCAAAAATATCTTTTAAAAACATCAAGACTCAAAATAAAATACAATGTAAAATTTGCGTATGAATACAAAAAATAGCTAAGAAATCACAAAAATACCACCATAAATATTACAAAAATTGCCTCCTAATAAATACTGATTTGTGAAAGATTTAATAGTAATTACTATTTATTTTCTCCATTTCTTTTAGATTTTTTTGGTTCATTAGTTAATGCATCCATAACTCTCCTCTCCCATATAAAAATAAAACCTATAAATATTTTTACCGTAGATTTCATGTTTACATGAGAGAAACAAATACAATTTTTGGTGTATCTCATAATTTCTCTTATATTTAGTTTATCAACACTAATTAAATAATCTCTAAAGCATAAGAAACTATGAGAAAGATCTTGACTAGTTTTGACCATCCTTAACTTTATTGTTTTATTTTTTGTGATTTTTTGTATATTACCCAATTCTCTTTACTCTTTCCTATCATTAAAAAGATAATAATTGCAAAATAAAATGTTGAAAAGCTTAATTTTTTTTATTTAATTATCTAAACATTTTAAGCTTTTAAAATTAAAAGCATTCAATTAATAAAATTTTGAAATTACATACAATCAAATAGCAAAAAAAGAAAATATGTAACAACCATATACACACACACACACACACACACACACACACACACACACACACACACCCCTTTAAAAAGGTGGATTTTTTTACTATTCACACACAAAATATTATTCACTTGATAGCATTTTTATGACTTTAAGTCGGTGACATTTTCATTTTAAGTGTTTTTTCGAGCAATTATTCTACCTACAACACTCGCTCACTCCTTTTTAACTATACATTGAATGATTTTTTTTCCATAAATTTTAGATTTTTTAGGCATTTTATACGTAAATTTTTGCTAATGTTGTTCTTTCATCTCTTATTTTTTCAACAACTTTTTATTTCAATCCATAATTTTATTTGTATTATAATTTGATCTTTAGCTACTACGAAGAGAGAGATACGAATAGAGAGAAGGGAAGAGAAAGAGATTTATGTATGTATTTTTTAATGAATTTTTATAATATTGCTATTTGCTCTTTAAAAAAATTAGATATAATTTCTATGACAAATTCTTTTAATTTTTAAATGATAGTGGCATGGTTATATATATATATATTAATGAATTTTTAGAATATGATTCTTTGCTCCTAAATTTTTTTGATATTATTTAAATAATAAATTCTATGAATTTTTAAATGATAGAGCATGATTACACACACACACACACACACACACACACACACACACATATATATATATATATATATATATATATATATATATATAAATAATTTACAATATATATAATCTAAAGATTAAAAATATTCTTTTAGATGATCGAGTCTCGGATTTGTTTTTTAAAAAACAAATATAAGAAAAAACTTTAGTTAAGAATCCATGGATTTTTGAATTTTCTTACAATTTTTTAGTTAAAAATCTGGATATAAAAGAATAAATCATGTTCTCTTTAGTAGAAAATTTATAAAAAAAAAAACGTTTGTCTACCTTCTATTCTATATATTTTAGTAGACCTTTAATATAACATATACCATCAAATTGAAGTTATTTTTTAAAATGATTTTACATGTTACGTTTGACCCGCAAGTATAGTGCGGGTGAAAAAACTAATATTACCTAATTCTCTTTACTCTTTCCTATCATTAAAAAAAATTAATTGCAAAAAAAAGAAAAATGTTGAAAAGCTTAATTTTTTTTTTATTTAAGTATCTAAAAATTTTAAGCTTTTAAAATTAAAAGCTTTCAATTAATAAATTTTTGAAATTACATACATTCAAATAGGAAAAAAGAAAAAGAAAATATGTAACAACCAATACTACGCGGGTCTTGTAGAACAAAATCATTTTAAAATTTTAAATTTTTTAAACTATAATTTTTTCTAATGTTTTTTTAATATAAATTTTATCCTTTAAAAAAAAACATAAATCATTTTTCCTTATGGATTGATTTTAAAATAAAAATTATAATAATTTTAACTAAAATATTAATCAAGAATTAAAAAAATTTTAAAAATATAATTTTCATAATATTGTATTTCAAAAAATAAAGTTATAAGTAATGGATAAACTTTTACAAAAATTAACAAGTGAAAATAAATTTTCTTATTTAATGCTGATAAGAAGATTAATTTTTGAAATTATATGCACAACGATAAGATAGATAGAATAAAATCATTTCAAAATTTCAAAATTTTCTCATTAATTTTTTATTTCATTATAACTATTTTTTTGTGTGTTTTTCATAAATTTTCTACTTAAAAAACATGATTTATTCTTCTTTATTCGAGAGATTCTTGAATAAAAATTTGTAATAATTTAAATCTGAAATATTAATGAAGAATTAAAAAATGTTTTAAAATTATTTTTTTATAAGAATGCATCCAAAAAATAAAGTTACAATTAATGTATAGACTTGCATAAAAATTAACCAATGAAAAAATAAAATTTTATTCTTATTTAATGTTGGCGAGAAGATTTTTTTCTTTCAAGTATATGAATTTGATCTATATATATTTATTTACAAAATAATCAATAAAATTAGCATAAAAACTATATTTAAATAAATTGGTTGGTTCCTTTCAAAAATTATTTTAATTATTTTATTTCAAATTAATTGGTTCTATAATATTAAAAAATATTCATAGTAAATAATTTATATTATGTTGGAAGATGTATAGTTAATTTTTAATACAAAAATAAGAATAAAAATTAACTTGATGTGAATTTTTATAATAAATTGAAAAGATCAATTTTAAACAATAAGAATAATATATATTTATTATAAAATATAAAAACATATCGTATACATTAAATAATCGTCAGTTTATGTGGAAAAAAATGTTAAAAGATGTATAGTCAATTTTTCATATAAAAATAAGAATAAAAGTTTACTTGATGTGAATTTTTATAATAAACTGAAAATATCAATTTTAAACAATAAGAATAGTATATATTTATTCTAAAATATACAAACATATCATATATATTATATAATCGTCAACTTATATAAAAAAATAATGATTGATTTTTTAAAATTTTAACACCTATTTAGATAAAAAAAAAAAAGAACATAAATTGATAGAAAAAGTCAAAGAAAAAACAAAAATCATGTGTAGTGCATTAGTTAGTGGGTTAAAATTTTTATTTTAAAATTTTAAAGACCTAAATAAATTAATTTAGAAATTAAAAAAAAAGTTAGTGAATAGTGATTTGTGAGAGGTTGAACAATGAAACTTATTGTTCAAGCCCTCTTATGGTTTAAACCCTCCACATTTTTTAGATATATCATAATGGTAATGATAATGATAATAGTAATAGTAATATATATATATATTCACTTTCTCTCCCGCCAAAATCAGAAACCCACCAAGTTCCCGCCAAAGAACCAAACCGAGATCCAAACATTAATTAATTCTAAAAATCTATTTATTTTGTTTTTGCTTTCTTTGCGCAATCAAAAACCCTAGACGCCCAAACATTCATCATTTCCAGTGTCCGCCATGAAAATCCGTACTCTGAAACTCAGAGAAGCCCACAAATCTATCAATGGTATTAACAACAGCCCTTCCTTCTGTTCCATCTTATGGGACCAACAGGCCCTTCATCTCGTTACAGCCTCCTCCTCTGACCCATCAATTTCCATCCATGACCCTCTTCTCCCCTCAAATCCTCCAAAGATTCTCCGCCGCCACCGCGACGGTGTTACTGGCTTGGCTCTTAGCCCTAACTCCACCTGCCTCGCCTCTGGATCTATTGACCGCTCCGTCAAGCTCTATAAGTTTCCAAGTACTTCACTTTTTATTTATTTATTTATTCTTTTTAAATGTTCTAATATTACGGCCAAATTGTCAAATGAGTTCTCATGATTTCGGCTCCATACTATATTCTTGCATAAAATGTGGGTGAATTTTTATTTTTTTTCATAAATGAAAATTATATGACTGTATACAATTCTTTAGGTTTGATATACATGATTTATAGTAAATAGTATTTGAAATTGGTATCTGGGCTAACTAGAGATGGTTTACTGTCTTGTGCAATGATTCTATTTTGATAAAATATTCAATTCTGTTCACAGGTGGCGAGTTTGAGACTAATGTAACTAGATTCACGCTGCCGATTCGTGCTCTTGCATTTAATAAATCAGGGAGTATGCTGGCAGCGGCTGGCGATGATGAAGGCATTAAACTTATTAATACAATCGATGGTTCGATTGCTAGGGTTCTGAAAGGACATAAAGGACCTGTCACTGGCTTAGCTTTCGACCCTATAAATGAGTACTTGGCATCAGTAGATTCTATTGGGACTGTTTTATTTTGGGAACTGCAGTCTGGTGGGATCTTACACACACTAAAAGGTGTTGCTCCTAATGCTGTATCGGACACTTCTGTCATGAATATAGTTAGTTGGAGTCCAGATGGGGAGACCTTGGCTGTCCCTGGTTTGAGAAATGATGTGGTGATGTATGATAGAGACACAGCAGAGAAGCTGTTTACATTTAGAGGTGACCATGTGCAGCCTGTATGTTATTTGTCTTGGTCACCTAATGGCAAATACATGGCCACTTCTGGTTTGGACAGGCAGATTCTGATATGGGATGTCGATAAGAGGCAGGACATTGACAGGCAAAAGTTCGAGTATAGAATATGTTGTATGGCATGGAAGCCAATTGGTAATGCATTGGCTGTCATTGATGCTACGGGAAAGTATGGTCTGTGGGAATCAGTTGTTCCTTCTTCATTGAAATCTCCTACAGAAGATATTCCAAGTTTGAAGAACAGTAATGGGCTTCTTTTGTTTGATGAGGAGGATCCAGAGCCCAGTACGTCTGGTAGTTTAAGTGATCTTGGCGAAGATAGTCTTGGTGAATCAGAACCACCTAGCAGGAAAAGACTACGTAAACAGTCTGAATTTGAAGATCCAGATGAGGATATTAATGACGAGTTGAGCTTGCTTCCGAAGACTGAACCCAGAAAAAAGGCGCGTTGTGCTGGCAAGGAAAACTTGGGAAATGAGGGACTAATAAGTGTGAAATCTGCTAGGTTGACGATGCAGGAGGCTTTTCAGCCAGGTGCTACTCCTCCACTGCCTGGAAAGAGGCGCTTCCTGTGCTACAAAATGCTTGGAACTATAACTACAGTGGAAAATGATGGATACTCCCACATAGAGGTGGTGTATCCTATTGCTCAATTTTATTTGTCGGTTTCTTTTTTTTTTTTTTTTTTTTTTTTTTTTTTCATTTTGCTGCATTCTGGTGGGGTAACTCAAATATTGAGTAGCAATGTTTAGCTGGATTCATGTTAAATCGCCGTGGAGCAGAAAGTCAATTTTGCTTTCTTGAATTGTTTATTGATTTTTCATTATGCCTTGTAAGCAGATCGACTTTCATGATACTGGCAGAGGTCCGCGAGTTCCTTCAATGACCGACCATTTTGGTTTCACAATAGCCTCATTAAATGAGAATGGAAGTGTTTTTGCCAATCCCTGCAAAGGTGAGAAGAATATGAGTACTCTCATGTATCGCCCGTTCAGCAGCTGGGCAAACAACAGTGAGGTGAGATAATTTGCTCTTCCAAAATTATATTCTCCTTCCTTATTCATCTGGTAATTTGTAAATGTATATACCTCTTTCTGCACATGCTTTGCTGCTTCTTTGCCAAGACTGAATTCTCACAATATGCTGGCATTCAATGCATGCACAAAATCAGTGGTCTATGCGATTTGAAGGGGAAGAAGTGAAAGTTGTGGCACTTGGTACTTCTTGGGTTGCTGCAATTACTAGTCTTAATTTTCTGCGCATCTATACTGATGGTGGTTTGCAGGTTTGTCACATAAACTTCATCAAGTCTGTACGATGATACGATTGAAGAGTTAACAATGTGCTTACTTCCTTTCATTTTATTAAATACTAATATTATTGATTTCTTCCAAAATTACACATTTTCTCAGGTCAAGTTAGTTTGTAAGTGTTCATGAAACTTTTGCCTCATATTCTTTTTTCTTCTTAATAGGTCTGGAAATCTTGCAAAATTAGACCTTGCATTATGCAGGCTTCTCAAATTGTCATTTAATTTATTAGCTTAAAGGATGGATTTCTTTCGCCTGTAATGAATGCAAGCCTAAAATGGCATCATTGAGAAGGTGGTTTGACTTTTAGCATCAATGGGAAATGCCAAATTGGGTAAAGGAAGCAGTTTCATATTAGTGTTTGTAGTGTTTATTGTGCATGTATGCTATCAATTATGGAAAAACATGTATGGATGAGTAGGTTTTTGGATTGTTCTTACAACATGCTGAGCTTAGTTTTTTTTTTTTTTTTTTTTTCAGGTGTTTCATCAATATACAGTAGCTCTTTATATTTTAGAAGTTCTCTGCTTAACTATGCATTGATCAGGGTGGCTAGCATGTGCAAACATTTATTTCAAGTCTTCAATAACCAATGCTGTCATATTTGAAAATGAGACAATTTTTTTTTCCAGTTGTGATGTTGTGTCTCGGATGTTAGTTAAAAGGAGGCCTGCCATCCTCCATTTTTGCTTTGACACTGTTCATGAAGAAGCAGATAACGTCAAAATAACAAATTTCTTAAATGACCTTTAGTTTTGATTTTCACTTGCGTTTAATATGACTGCTCTTAGTTTTCTAAGCTTTTGATTAAGTGTTCTTTGTGTCTGTGCTTTATACATTTTGCCACATGTACTTCATTACAGAGATATATTCTCTCCCTTGATGGACCAGTGGTGACTGCATCAGGCTTCAAAAATCAACTTGCAGTTGTAACTCATGCTTCTGATTGTCTTTCCTCAAGTGATCAGGTCTAGCCTTCATTTATTCATATTCCTGCATTTCAGATTCTGCTAAAACCTGCCGATTATTCAAGGTTCAACTGTACTGACACTTGGCATTCACTAAATGGCAAGAACAATGAGATCAATGAATAATAACTCAAGAAGCAGAATTACTGATATTTCTAAAAAATTTTATGACGTTGCTAACTATGTTGAAAGTTGTTCACCAGGGAAGAAATTTCATTTGGTTAATAGCTTGACCATCTCTTTATATTTGAGATTTCTTAAAAGTAGAATGCTAAAGATCTGAAGTTTCATATTTTGAATGTGCAGATGCTAGAGTTCAGAGTATTTGACATATCTAATGGGACCCAGCCACTTACAGGGTGTCTTCCCTTAACTCCAGGTTCACATCTAACATGGTTCGGGTTTAGTGAAGAAGGCCAATTAAGTTCATATGACTCTAAGGTATATTAACCTCAGTTCTCAGTTCAAATCACTGCTATGACTGAGCATGTCTTCTTGATATTTTTACCAATTTATTGTGCAAATTTGTAGGGTGTTTTGCGGGTTTTCACAAGCCAATTTGGTGGTAGTTGGCTCCCAATCTTCAGGTTCATTATTCTTCTGTTTAAGATATGGAATGATTCTATTGGTTGACGCTTTCCTTTATCATTGCTTTATACTCCGGCAGTTGTATAATAAAGATTTAATCCTGCAGTGCTAGTAAAGAGAAGAAGTCTGATGAAAGCTACTGGGTGGTTGGACTGAATGCTAGCAAGTTGTTTTGTATTGTCTGCAAGAGTTCTGACATGTTTCCACAGGTAATCTTGTCACCTCGACTTCTTCATCTCTTTACAATAATCTCATGACTGATTTCCTCTCCTGTATAGGTGATGCCCAAACCAGTCCTCTCTCTATTGAATCTTTCATTCCCTGTTGCATCCTCTGATCTGGGAGCAGATGCCCTGGAAAATGAGTTTATACTGAACAGCATGCACCTCTCACAGGTTTGCTTTTCTCCTCCCTGAAAACAAGCCCCCTTTATACAACGCTTTAAGCGTGAAGCTTGAATTTATTTTTTTAACAGTCTTTACTGGGTGTTACTTTCAGACTTGTATCTCAAAAATAATATATATATATATATATATATATATATATATATATATATATATTATTTTTGGGAAAATTGGTTTTGCTTGTGTCCCTCAATCTAACCTTTTGAAGGTTGTTTAGATTTCCCCAATAAAGCTGTTGGATCTGTTTGCCTTGCAGATTCAGAGAAGGATGGAAGAGATGGCAGTTGCTGGTTTGGATACCACTGCACTTGATGATGAGGCTTTCAATATGGAGGCAACTCAAGATAGATGCATCCTGAGGCTGATTGCGTCTTGCTGTAATGGTGAGCTCATAAAATCAATTGTAACCTCACATAAAGGATGCAAATTATTTCAACTCTTGAATTGTTCCTTGTAAAGTATTGTGTTTGAACGAAGTAAAATATATTCTCAGCCGTTATGCTTGCTTGTGGTGCTTATATCAGGTGATAAGCTTGTGAGGGCTACAGAACTTGTGAAGCTTTTATCACTGGAAAAATCGATGAAGGGAGCCATAAAGCTTGTTACAGCTCTGAAGCTTCCAAATTTGGCAGAACGATTCAACAGCATACTGGAGGTAAACCCTATTAATCTGGAAAAGGTTCTTGAGTTATTTCAGAGTCAATCAGATTGGATGTTTTTCAGTTATCAAATTGGTAATTTGCACATTTTTTCCCCATCACAGGAAAGATTGCTTAATGAATCCAAGGAAACTCACAAAACCCCCGTCATGAACTCTAACGGTAGTGCATCTCTAACAGCTGATGCTGCAGTCAGCAGCACGATATTGACTTCAACTGGAAAAAATGAAACACCCGAACCTAGCATTGCCTTCTCATCACCAACACTGTCAGCCCCACTATTTATCAAAAAAGCAAATAAGCAAGAACGTGAAAAAGGTGATCAGAACCAAACTGCAAACGCAAAGACCAGTATGGAGACGAGCAATGCAGAGAAGGTGAAAAATGCTGGAAATGTGAAAAGTGTAGAAGGAAAGATGACAAGCGAAGTGTTAAAGGTACAATCACAACGCCCATCTAATCCATTTTTAAAGCCATCAAACAATCAAGAAACTACGAAGAAAGATCTGAACCAGGTAACATCCCAGCGTCCTTCAAATCCATTTAAAAAGTCACCAAAATGAAAGCACTCATGTTTGATGCAACGTTAAGTTGTAATGGGATTACATTTTTAGAGTGGCACAATGTCCCAGATAAGTATTTGAATGGCTGACATCTGGGAAATCTGTTGTATATTAGCCAGGTGCTAGAAACAAATGTATGGATGAGGTTCTATTTCTGTAGTCATGCACTTGAATATACAAAAAATCTTCATTACTGATTTTAAGCACCAAATCTCATTCCAGTGTCTTACTTTTCATTATAATAAAATAACAGGCAAGCAATAACACTGTTTATCAAATCTGACAGAATTGGGCATTCGATTTGGCAATGTTATTAAAAATTTAATGTCTGGGGCAGTTAACGGTCTTTACTTACCCAAACACAAGTGTACATGTCCAAATTTATCTCTCCACTTGGGGTGCCAGAAGTATGAGCGCCACCCCCCCCCCCCCCCCCCCCCCAAAAAAAAAAGGGTAATTTTTAATCTATTTTTTTTAAATAAAGTAATTTAAATCTTATTTATAAAAAAGAAGAAGATAGTTTTATTATATAGACATTCATGTCATCTTTTTAATTAAGTGTTATAATACATATTTAATATAATAATTTAAAAAATAAAAATATAAAAGAAAAAATTAACTTATTTTCTATGTCTTTTTTTGTCGTTTTTGTCTTAATTTCTTAAAGTTCAAATTCTCTCATAGTTCAAAATCACAATTACTAAAAAAGTTTTTTAGCATATGTATATTATCAATTAAGATATTTTTTTAAAATTCTCTTATTTTTATTTATTTAATTTTGATAAAATTTTGTGTTTTTTCAATCCAAAAGACGTATAGAAATTGCATTGGGCAAATTAGGTTTAGTGTCAAACAATTTCAGCATCAATGATGAGATATTTTGATAATTTCTTGGAAGGAAAAATTCGAACTCGGGACCTTTTCTATAGAGGAGAGGTCTATAATATCATAAATTTGAATGCTGACATATCAATGAAGGAGAGTTCTGCAAACTACTCCATCTAAGGATTGCAAACTTGGCATCACTAAAAAGAAGCCGCGAAGTAAACGAACTTCAAAGCAGTGTGCATAGACAACGAAGGATTTTAGGCTTTCGGCAATAGAAAATCATTCTGAGATGAGTTTGACACATTTTTCAAAAAAGAGATGTACGTATTGTGGAATGGATAGCACTCCACAATGGAGGATGGGTCCATTGGGTCCGAAGACGCTGTGTAACGCTTGCGGTGTAAGGTACAAGACTAGAAGACTGTTCTCGGAGTATCAGCCGGCTGCCAGCCCTAGTTTTGATGAGAAAAGGCATTCAAATTTTCATAAGCAGATTTGGAAAAAGAGGGCCAATTTGAACTAATGATGTGCGATCAATTTTAGATAGAGTTACAGTTCTGTTTTCTTATTATTTATTGGGGACAGAGTGACAGGGAACCAAAAAAAAAGACGTCATTTAAAAAAAAAAAAAGAGTAAAATTGACATGTCATTGTATTTAATTAAAAATATTATTATGTGATATATAGTATCTTATTATGAAAAATAAGTTTAAAACTACAATATTATAAAAAATAAGATAAAAAAATATCTTATTACAAAAAACAAAGAAAAACTCCCAGAAGTATCATGTTTTTTTTTAAAAAAAAAATCCCAAAACAAAATATTCTGTCAACATTACCCTATTCTATTTTATTCTACACCTTGAATGTTTCAAACTCTACCGAACAGTGAACACATGAGATGTCAAGTTCCTTGTCACACACAACAGCCTGGATTTCTGTTCCAATGAGTTCTTCCGGCACCTTGACACCTCATTATCACTGCCACCATCTTGAGGAAAAATCTTTTGCAATCTTAAATTATCCTCCTATATAACAGATGCTCCCATCAAATTGTCTAGTAGCAAAAATCCATATGGTTTTGGTTCAGTGATCAAAGACATGGCTTCAAACCTTTTGTCCATTCACTGCCTCTTTCATGTTAAAAACATAACAGTACCAAGCAACGCAATAACTTTTATGCCTTTGATAAACCCGGTGAAAAGAAATTTGATGCCATTTACTGTCAAATGAGGCAATCTTTCATGCAATAAACTTATATATATATGAGCATTATTGTAAGAATTTCATATGACTTTGTAATATATATGTAATTTTAGTTGGAAGAATATATATGCGTATTATTTTAGTAATATGAAATTCTTACAACTAAAATAATGCTAATATATATATATATGAGCATTGATTCTCTTATTACTAATTTTCAGGTTAAGATATTCAAGATATCCTCGCACTATTGCTGGAAAACAATCTTGAATATAGAAATCAAGATTTCACTTGGCATCCGATTGGTGTAGTCAATTGGATCTGACTTGTTTCATCACTCCAGATGTTTTGATTTCGATCTCCTCTACTTGCTGTTCCTCTTCCTCACCGTTCCAGCTGCTGATAAAAGGAGGGTTTTTTTTTTTTTTTTTTTTTTGTGCGGAGGTCATAGATTGAGTAAATTATAAATTAATCCCTCTCTTTTCGAGAAACAAATTAATTAGTCTTACTAGTTTTAAAACTTAATTCTTTAATCATTTTAACTAGTATTGATTGCGATTAATTTAATATTTTTTATTTTATGAAATGTATTCATTTTTCATCTATCTTTTCATAATTTTTATTCATTTTTTCTTTTCTATTTCTTAAAACAAAAATCAAAATAAATTAAAAAATAACAAAAAAACTAAATGATTGGTTTTGAAACTAGGGGGCTAATTAATTCATTTCTTGAATTGAGGGACTAATTTGTAATTTACTCCTTATAGATTATATCTACTGACATATATGTCATGAATTTTCCTCTCTTTTTTATTATTTGTTTAAGCTCAAGTAATTAGTCTTTGTCCTCCACTGTAACTTTACCTCTGTAATAATTAATGATTATTATTATTATTATTATTATTTTTTTTTTCGACTTGAACTCGTTCATCATTCCTAAGGCTTTTTTTTTGCCCTTTTGTTTATGGAACTTTTTTTTTTCTTTTACCGAACAGTGTATGCAGAGTTCAATCAGACAAAACTTTGAATTTGTAACCAATCAAATAAGAGTAACATTTGCACTTAAATTAATATTCTATTGAAGGCAATTGTAATTATAGTGATTTCTTATAATTTTTTGATCTCAGTATTTCATTCCAAGTTGATTATGTTATGGTGTTGTTTGGATTCTTTTGCATATGGGTTTGGGTTTTGATTAAGAGAATTTTATAAAAAAATAGTAAAAATTATAATTGGATAGTAATTTGTAGGACAATTTATTTTCCAAAATCATAAGTAGATTAATTAAATTAATTATTTTAAAATTACTATTAGTGATTCTAATGATATTTTTGATGTTTTATTTTAAAATAAACTAAATTAAATAGAATGTAATCGGTCCGTAAACTCTTAACAAGACTCATGACCTACCCAAACTGGTTGGGCTGCAAATTTATAAGGACAATATAACAATGATTAATCTAAATAAGTAATTTAACTTATTGTGCTAATATTCAATCAAAATATCAAATCTAAAATAAAAATTTGTAAGATTAAACAATCAAAATATCGAGAAAGAAATGTTGGAATATTGATAATAGACTAAGAATTACAAGTTTAAAATATTCAACAATATTAGAGGTGCAATATTATAGCCTTTACGATACTTTTATATGGAAATAAAGAATTTACATTTTTAGAGAATGATGAATATTTACAAATTGACACTCAAGATATAACATTTTTTTTGAAGAAACTATGATCATGATCGTTGTAAACATGAGATGAGAACCAAGAATGAAGAACCTATAAATTATTAGTATACTTGATTACCGCCTATTAGTTACAACCAAATAAGTTTCAAGTGTGTTGAAACTTGAAAAAGTGTTTATTGAATTGTTTGCAACTTGCAAAAGTTTGTTTTTGTGTTGTATTATTATGCGTTTTTTTTTATCGCTATTGTAGTTGATATTTATAGAGTTGTTATTTCATGATTTTCTATAGTGGATCACTTTCTTCTACACTTTATCATGTATTTTGTATTGCTCCATGTTCTTCTCCAATCTTCTTCTTCTTCTTCTTCTTCTTCTTCTTTTTTTTTTTTTTTTTTTTTTTTTTTTTTTTTTTTGCAATGCACCACATTTTTTGTTCTATTCTACTATTCTTGTGTTGCAATTTTTCACATTTTTTCTAACTATCCGAATTGTGTATTTACTAATTTTAGAATCCTATTATTCTTTTATTAACTATTTATTGATTGAGTTCATTACACATGATCGTTTTTCAACGTTTTCTCCTTATGATTTGGTCTTATTAAGAATTTAGGAGTGATCATTTGGTTAAACGGTTCAATTAAGCTTAATTCGGTTTGGTTTTGGTTAACCGAATTAGGAAAAATGAAAATCAAAATCGAACCAAAATTAATTCGGTTTGTAACCGAATTATTTCAATTCGATTATAAAATAATTCAATTTTAACCAAACTTTTGTTGCTTGTGAAAAAAAAGGTAGAACCAAAATAAATAGGAGATGCATATGAAGCCGTAAAGTAGGTGTCGATATTAAAGAGAAGTTGAGAAATCACTTTCACAGTTTATTTTAATAGGCATGATTTCAACATGATTACATATCCATAACTTTCGATGACAAATCACACGATCTACTTCCAACACTCAAAACAATTAAATAAGCTCAACTTGCATCATACTTAAAAGAGGATTACATGGATATTCAATGCTCAAATTATATTATTTTTTTATGTTGTGCAAGAATATGCAACAAATTATAAGAGAATCATATGGGTTTTGAAGTCTCCAATTCAAAAGCGAGCATCATATTAATACTATTAGCTCTCCAAACCTCTCCTAGTCTCCTACATTTCAATTTCCTGGACACGAAACCCAAATAACCAAGGGTTCCATTACTTCATGTCTTCATCCGCATAAGCATAAAGATGTTTGTCCAAGTAGTCTTTCACTTCTTATCGGACATTATAGAATTTCAATGTGTTAACATTTACCACTTTCGCTTCTTCTAGGACATAAATGACAAGCCAGCGGGGACTAGAGAGAGCCAAAACTAGGCGAAGGCAAGAGGTCTAGACTCCAGTGGCATTACCTTTAACTAAGAAGCAAGAAGTCCGGACTCCAACCAGTGGTAGTGGGCGGAATCGCAGAAGGCGAAGCACTCGAAGGCACTAGATAGAACTAGACATAATATATATAAGGACGGATACAACATTCAACAAATATGGAAATATGAAAAGCAATATTCAACATTCAACAATCTTGCTTTGACTAAATTCGATAAATATGGATAAAAAAAAGTATGGTCGTATCGGTATGCACTATGCATAACAACCTTTATGATGAATTAAAACCAACTTGACTTTGATTACCAACACGGCAACACCTAAAAGAAGATAAAAGATATAGATTCATCAACAATTCAACATACCAAAATCATGACAAATAGAAAAAATACAATGCATCAAATTAGAAATTACAATAAATCTAAAAACCGTAAAGAAAATTGCCAACAATAAAGAGTCTTACTTGGAGCCTTGGACACTTAGACAACCTCGAGCCTCCTCCCATAGTCCCACTTGCTTACTTGGAGCCTTGGACACCGTTAGACATCTAATGGATAACCCCGATATGTGTAATGAAAATTTAATTACGGTAGGTTAGTAGGTTAGTAGGCGGTAGCATTGAGCCATTAACTAGTGAAAGTCACTACGTCGGACATGCACAAGCAACACAAGCAATAGAAATAAAAAAATCAAACTTAGAAACTTAATAGCTTACACATATTATTCAAAAGCTAAAACACCATCGAGTAATCAACCCATCAAACATTTATAGTAGAGGTAGCGGTAATTGGTAACTCTAAAAAATATAAGATAAAAAATTAGCCCTTTAACATTAATATAGAGGAAAAAAATAATAAATGAAAAGATAAGATTTATAGAAATTACCATCTTGCATTTTCTCTACTTTCTTCAATTATAATTAGCGTCAATGAATTTTTAATCCAATCTTGAGCACATATAAGAGATTCCACTAAGCTAGGAGTTAAAGAACTCCTAAAGTAGTCAAGAACTCTTCCTCCAATGCTAAATATCGATTCCGAGGAGACCGTAGAAACAGGAACAACCAATGCATCCTTAGCCATTTGTGAAATGATGAGAAACCGAGGAGCATTGGTTTTTTACCATTCTAAAATATTAAAATCAAGACTATTATTTTTAGCACTTTCACCAAGATATTTGTCCAACTCCATTTTATTTCCTCTACCTCTAATCTCATACTTGTATTTTTCAAAACACATCATTATCTCC